AAAAATCAAAAATCTAAATACATGGTTAGATTCAGCATATCAAAGAACCCCATATATTCAATTTTTGTTGAAATCAAACAAAGTTTAATTTTGGACCCCGATATGGACCAACTTGAAAACTGGGCCCATAATCAAAAATCTAAATACATGTTTAGATTCAGCATATCAAAGAACCCTAAGAATTCAATTTTTGTTAAAATCAAACTAAGTTTAATTTTGGACCCTTTGGACCTTAATGTAGACCAATTTGAAAACGGAACCAAAATTTAAGAATCTAAATACACAGTTAGATTCGGCATATCAAAGAACCCCAATAATTCAATTTTTGATGAAATCAAACAAAGTTTAATTTTGGACCCTTTGGACCTCAATGTGGACCAATTTAAAAACGGGGCCCAAAATCCAAAAACTAAATACACGGTTAGATTCAGCATATTAAAGAACCCCATGAAATCAAGAATAAAACCCCATTGAAATTGGTCAAGAAATAAGCAATTTATAGGAAGTATCTTCTTTTGCACAATCCTGTGCTATTAAATATTTCTTGCTATTGCGCAATACTGTACAATTGACAATTTCTTGCTATTGCGCAATATTGTGCTATTGGATATTTCTTGCTATTGCGCAATACTGTGCAATTGAAGATTTCTTGCTATTGCCCAATACTGTGCAATTAAAGATTTCTTGCTATTGTGCAATACTGTGCAATTGAAAATGTCTTGCTATTGCACAATACTTATTATATAATAATTTACACATCCTGTTTGGTGTGTATCTCCTACCATATCATTATTATTTGATTTTAAATATAAATCAGAAATAACCAACTTAAAATGGAAAATTTTAAAAGAAACAAAAAAGGAAAAAAAGAAAAAAAAGGAAAAAAAAATAAATCCCCCCCCAAAATTTTTTGAACCCCCATTATGATTCATCACCCCCAAACTCAATCCCAGCCTTCCCTTTGTGGTATGGTACCTTGCAGTACAATTTCAGAGAGATCCATACACTTGAACACAAGTTATTGTCTGGAAACTAGAAAAAAATGTGTTTTTTGGCCCCTTTTTGGCCCCAAATTCCTAAACGTTTAGGGCAATTACCCCCAAACTCAAACCCAGCTTTCCCTTTGTGATATGGAACCTTGTAGTACAATTTCAGAAAGATCCATACACTTACACACAAGTTATTGTCATGAAACTAGAAAAATGCTTGTTTTTTGCCCCTTTTTTGGCCCCTAATTCCTAAAATTTGGAGGCAATTACCCCCAAAATCAATCCCAGCATTCCTTTAGTGATATGGAACCTTGTGGTACAATGTCAGAGAGATCCATACACTAACACACAAGTTATGTCTGGAAGTTACAAAAATGCTTATTTTTGGCCCCTTTTTGGCCCCTAATTCCTTTACTGTTATTACCATAACCCCCAAAATCAATCCCAACCTTCTTTTTGTGGTATTGAACCTTGTGGTAAAATTTCATAAAGATCCATTCACTTAAACTAAAGTTAGAGTGCGAAAACCAATGTGTCTTCGGACGACGACGCCAACGTCATACCAATATACGACCACAAAAATTTTTTTGCGGTCGTATAAAAAGGATTGATATTGGTATGTTTTATCAACTATTAGCATGAATAATCACTTATTCAGTTCTTATGGGTAATGATATAACATAGTTTAGGTAGGGATATAAAATTGCTATATCAGTTATTCAGGAACATATATATTGACGGGACTTGACACTACCTGATTGTAGTCGATTTTATCATCGTGCCATAGTTAATAAAGATACGATACAGAAACGGACATGTGTTAAAAACGGACTCGCTATTATCCTAATAATTTTTGATATTATCAATAAAATGTCATTCAAACTAGTTTTACAGTGATGCTAGTGTATCAAACTTGTATTCTGTCACTTCAAATTTGTTAAAATCGAAAGCATTTCATCACAGAATTGTGCAGAATGCAAACCAGGTAATAAAAAAATGGCGGCCATTGCCGCGATGATTTACAAATTCCCAAACTATTGTAAAACACTTCACATCAAATAAATCAAACTTATTTTGGTAATTTTATATAACAAAATATATCTACTAAATGATAAAACTTGTATTTATTTACAAGTAGAGTTATGTGGTTTATTAGTTGAGCAGTTCTGATAGTTTTTCAGTCAGACGCTACCAAAATCCGTAAATCTCGGGAAGTCTCGGGGAGTCCGAGATTTTATCAATTTTATACTGAAAAGCGTATCAGATTCATTTCCCGTTAGATATAATGTTCCCAGAGTTATTTCAACATGTATAAAATATATATATTTTTTTCTTGAAAAGGTTTGATTTTTACAGGTAAATAGAATTACAGGTGACTAGATTATCAGGGCATTACCTATTATATGGCAAGCAGGTGTCAAAAGTTTATTCAATATTACAACTGTCCCCTAATAAATATTGACATTATAAACAGGAAAAAAGTCATAAAAGTTATTTTTGAAGACTGTTTAAAACAATTATTTTATTCCTGACTATTCAACTGCATGATAAATATCTTCTAAAACTAAATACAGAAAATGGAAATTTTGAAGGATCTATACTTTGGCTGCTGTTTTTCTTTTTCTTTAATTTTATTCTAATAATCACTGTCCATGGTGTGTTCATGTAAAATTTCAATTTATATAAGAAAAGATAACATTAAAAAAGTCTAATTTTGACTTAAAAACTTTCATATTTTCATGACTAACAGTTATTGAATGTAGGGCTAAATATCACAGGACAGAAAGTCACAATGTAATTTTGAAAGAACTGTTTATTTGATTAAGAAAAGACTAATTTTCAAGACATTGTTTTATTACATTTGATGAAATAACTGTTAAGAAAACAAGCTGTCATAGTCTTTTTCTTGACTGGCTTCATGGTACCAAAAAATATCCTTTGTAGGATTAATATTTAATAAATCTTCATTTAACCATGTTCATTATCAATCTCATAAACATAACAATGAATTCATTTCAAGAATTTTCCCTTACATATTCAAAAACTTGTTAATTAATTGTGAGTTTTTGTCCTTACAATGTAGTAAATAAGTGACTTTCTGTCCTGTGAATATATTTGTCCATTTACCCTGTAGTTGACCAGGTAGTGACTGTATTTAATAGTAATATCTTATCAAAATTTCAATTGACCAGTATTTGCCAGTATTTCCCGGTATTTACCGCCGGCCTGGTCAATACTAGTATTGTCCGCTTTTTTGCCAACCTTGCTGGGAAGTCAAGGAATTAGAAATTCAATGGTTTGGAAAAAGGTCAGTAATTATCGTCACAAGTGTGTTATTCTGTTAGAGGGAAATTCTCAAGGTACGTGAAACATGTTTTATTGTAAAGATAAATCAATTACCGGCAGACTGATGTGTGTTTGTTCGGGAGAAATGCAAGGGAATACTAGAAATATCGGTTGAACCGAACACATAGAAAATTTTCGTTAGCTACCTTGTGATATTTAGTACAAGTGTGGATAGTAAACCCCCCATTGGCAGAAACAAGTGCCTGTGATTTTTGTCCTTACCTGTTCAACTACTATGGGCGTTGCTATTTGAGTATAAACAATATATATTCATGCTGAAAATATAGTCAAAATACGCTATTTTAAATAAATACAAGTTTTAAGACAATAATTCTTGGGAGGTCACATAGGCTTACAATAAACTGCTTCGCTGAGCGCAACTGGATACGCCCGCAGAGGTCCAACCCTGAACAGTTGGGGCAAAAATGGACACAATATTCAAGCTTGATACCGGTCTGAATTTTGATTGTAATTAAATATTTGATATATTATAGGTTTCTGAATAAATGTAGTCAAAGAACTTGAAATTGGTTATATGAAAGATTTCTTGCTGTTGTGCAATACACTGTGCTGTTGCGTAATACTTAGTGAATCTGTTGTCAGACTATAAACAAATAAAATCTTATAACTCTGAAACATAAAATCGAAAATTTATAAAAATCAAAAGCATGAAAAGGGAGCTTACAAAAATAGATATGAACAATTTACCAAAGTTTCATAAAAAATGCTGAAAGCACTTGAGTTATTGTCCGAAAACTGGAAAATTCCCCTTTTTGTAATGAATAAAACCCCATAAATCGGAAACGTATAGTCTGAGTTATAAAAATCAAATGGGAGCTCATGTCGATAGACATTAGCAATTCACCAAAGTTTCTTGCAAATTGGTGAAATTGTTTTGGGGTTATTGTCTGAAAACTGGAAAATCCCCCCTTTTTTAATGAATAAAACCCCAAAACTTGGAAACGGTAAATCTGAAATTTATAAAAAATGAAAAGCTCACGTCAATAGATATAAACATCTCACCGAAGGGGAGCTTAAGTCAATAGATATCGAACAATTCACAAAAAATTCTTGCAAATTGGTGAAATTGTTTTTGAGTCATTGTCCGAAAACTGGAAAATCCCCCCCCCCCCCTTTTCAATGAATAAAACCCCAAAACTCGGAAACAGTAAATCTTAAATTTATAAAAAACGAAAGGGAGCTTATGTCAATAGATATAAACAATTCACCAAAGTTTCAACTTTCATGCAAATTGGTGAAATTGTTTTTGAGTTATTGTCCGAAAACTGGAAAATCCCCCCTTTTTAAATGAATAAAACCCCAAAACTTGGAAATGGTATATCTGAAATTTAACAAAAAAGAAAGGGAGCTCACGTCAATAGATATAAACAATTCACCAAAGTTTCATGCATATTGGTTAAAGCGTTTTTGAATTAATTTAATGTAAGACATGTTGACGACGGACGGACGGACGTACAGCCGGTCAACGGTATACCATAATACGTCCCGTAACCGGGCGTATAAAAATGACCATTCTTTCCCGCCATAAAATTTCAGGAAACCGAAAGTGTCGTGTGGTTATAATTTACTTTCCTTTTCAGTTTATCTTGTTTTAAGTTGTTAACATATAACATTTGTATGTTAATGGCTATAACCAGTCATTACCTCATCTATTACAACTCTTCACAAACAAATTGAAATTGTGTTCTTTTCCAAATTTTTACTTTAGTATGCAACTTCTGCAACTTGACAAACTGATGGAGCACATGCAACTTTGTTGATGAGAAAAACGTTTGAATGGAAGGAAGTGCCAAGATACTCTTCAAGCGTAAAAAAGAATGAGAACACATATTTATTTCTTATGATAAAGACAAAGAATATCGAATGTCCTCGTTATTTTATGGAAAACACCAAAAGAGTTCCTGTCTGTTGATTTCGACGCATTGTGCTTGATTTATAAATTAGTTATACTTTTAGCGAAAATATCAAGCTGCTATTATTTAACTAAACAATTACAGTTTGTCCATGATATCAAAAACTATATGTGTTCATTTATGTATTGCTTAGCAACAAGTACACTAAAGAACTAATTTTTAGCGTATGAATATGAGGAAAATGAAAATAACAGAAGAAATAAAATGTTAATAACCACTAAAAAGTGATGGTTCTAGTCACATTCATTGTTCATACTTGGTTCTTGCGAAATATTTGTAAAATGTAAAAAATCAAAAGATTTGACAAGTAATGTTACTAAGAACTATTTCACCAACCGAATTTTAATCATGGCGGCCAGTGCCAAAATGTCATTCAACTATTACCAAAATGGAAAATATGGAACTCTACCTGCTAATCCACAGAAGGATATGGAGGTCACAAATGACATGCATCTTAAGATGTCAAAGAAAATTGCTCAGCTCACAAAGGTTCCTCACATTTGTACTTTTCGTTTATAACAACAACTTTGTAAAAAAAGGGGGAAGTGTTTATTTTTTTTTTTACACGGTTGACATTATTTTTGGAATATCTGTGATAGGGTTTGACAAAATAAGGAAACTTTGGAATGGGGAGCGAGGCTGGAGTAGAAGGGAAGTAAATAATGTCTGTGAGGGGTTTGACAGGGATAAGGGAGGGTGCAAGACAACTCAACCCAAATACAACTTGGACTGTCATAAAATGATTAAGTCAACTCAGAATGTCTACACTTCCAACTTAGACAATGTATGAAAGAAAAGTATTGACTATATAATAATGATCAAATGAGCGTCTACGAAAAAGACAACTCAGACCGTCTATGACAGCTATTCCCATGAAACTAATTGTCATAACATATATGTAATTTTCATTTTTCTCTATTTTTAATTTGTATATACATTCTTTAACAAAAGTGATAAACACCACTTACGAACTTTAGTCCTACATACCTATGTTATTGCCATATACATGTAAGATATATATTTTCGTCTGTATGCACTAATTCTTCAATAAACTTGTTTGGTGTTTCAAAAAATGACAGCATCAGTTGCTTTAAAGAAAACAGGTACTTAATAAATGTTCTTTGTATGTTGGCTATACGCAGATTGTACATTTTTTGGCATACTATCTATTTTTGAAATTCTACTTTGTCCTAAAAGAGATATTAGATTTCTCTAATATATCATTTTTGTAAGTTTTGTGTTAGGCTATAATTTGGGTAGAAACAAACATAGATTTTCTTTCATCCCTTTTTTTTTTTATCTTTTTCTGAGATCAGGATTGAATACTGTTGCCACTATAAATTTAGTACCAAAGGTTTATTTACTATTTTATTAGTTTCTTTAAACAGGGTTTCTCTGTTTGTATTTATTGTCTGCTTACATTGAATTAAAGAGACATGAGAAGAATTCATTGCATCACAGATCAACAGCAAATCATGCCTGTTTGTCTCTTTAATTTGAAAATTTTGAAATTAAGTGCTTTGCAGTGTTCTAGGATTTTTATACATATGCAACTTTCACTTTTCCAAGGGAAGGTTGGTATCAAAAATTCACTTTTCCACAAGTTTTATGAACTTTCCCTGAATTTTATTTTATTTTAAAAATGTTTTCATAATTTTGTTATTCCTTTTATCGCATGTTTATACATGTAGTTCGATTTGAAATTATGAACTCTGTTATTTCCTTTGAAATAAATTAGTTTGTTTAACTAGCTTGTGATTGTGTTGATAATTCATTGTCATGTTCATCTAGAGATACAAAACATTTGATGGAATATATTAATTTGATTTGAAATATATTAATTTTAGTTTGACACATGTCTATTTAGTTCATATAAATGTGACATTACATCAGTAATTCAAATATATTGGCACAAAAAAGGGATAATATCGTCAAACATTACACGCAAAAAATCATAAATTTGAGATCCGGATATTAAATCTTTTACCGTTTGCGTTCCGTTTATTAAGTTTTTGAGTCTAGATCGGATGGATACTTGACATCACAAATTTTCCTTGCTTAGCTGGCAAGCGTATTTATGACGGTGATCTCGAAACACATGCACACGTTTTTCTCCCCTAGACTTTAGAACCCCTGCATGATTTACACCAACAACAACGATCTTATTTGAGACTTTGATTGAAATAAAATAATACAAACGGTTACAACAATTGTTTGAATTGTATGAATAGGAAGTTTCTGTAATTTAATTTTTCTTGCCCACGGACAACAAAGGTTTGAATTTCCACTTTCCCGTGACCTAAATCAACTTGCCACGGGTGACGGGAAAGGGGAATTCTAGAACACTGCTTTGAAGTTGCTGTTTTATTTTCAGAACTATTAAACAGCTTGATTCATCGCTTATGTTGGTGATGACCGTGTATAATAGTATAATTATTTGTTCCTGGTTCACCCAGTAATTTAGTATAAAAAAACTTAAAAAAGGTGTTTTAGGTATGGTTGAGAAAGGGCAAAACATGTCATTTATATCAAACAATGTTTTTTTGTTTTGCCATCAATTTCTCTTCAAAATCTCTGTATTATGTATGGGATATGACAGGTATTTTCCATTCATGTATTTGAATACCTGGCTTTCAATTATAATGAACTAATTCAGCTTTTATAAAAAAAATATTTGGGTCTCACTAAAACGAAAAGGGTCTGACAAGGAGGACAAGTCTGTCTGTCCTACAAATAAAATAAGATTTCAACGGCGCTTTGGTTAGTATTATGATTATAAATCTTCAGTTAACAATCAATAAATTTATTTTATTTCTAGGTCATTTATGCCCTTAACACCAAGAATGACGAACATGACGGTGCAATTCAGAGTCTTAAAGACCAACACGAAGAAGAAATGCAAAAAATTTTGTCTGAAACGAAAGATAAAATTATGGTATTCAAACGGAAACTTGATGAGGACATTGACTACAGAAGTAAAATCACTCATCTAGAGAACACACTTTTCGAACTTGAAAAACACAAAAAAGATTCTATGCAACAATTTGAATCATTTAAACGTCAAGCTGACGACAGAGAGATGAAATTAAAGAAAGAAAATTCAGAAAAAATGCTATCAGTGTCACATGATGTTTTATTGGCAAAGAAAGATTTTGAAGACCAGTTAGCTAAATTTGATGCATGGAAAAAAGTGGTTGATTTAGAAAAAGAGAAAAGTTTACAAGACTTGAAAAAAGTACATGAAAAAGAAATGGAGGATGTTAGACAGTTTCATCGGGGTCAAAACAGTGATTGGTTAAATGAGGTGGCAAAGGTCGAAAATAAATACAAAAGTGAAGTTGAGGAATTAAATTCAAAAATTGAACAGTTAAATGCAGACAAAAGTAAATTATCAGAAGACTATGAACAAAAACTGAGCAAAGCTCAGGCATTTTATGAAAAAGAATTAGCCGCTATTAAAAATTCTAAAGACGTAAATCAAGAACAATTGTCAGCTGCGTTACGAGAAGAACAAGAGCGATTGAAAAAGGAATTTGCAGTACAACAAAATGAAATGAAAAAAAGAATTGACAGTTTAGTTGAACAGTTATCTTTAAGTGAAGATGAAACTGAAAAATATAAAAAACAACTTGCAGATTTAGAATCAAGTTTAAATGATAAGGATGAAAATTCTTCTGCATTGCAACAACAGGTTTGTAAACACGAGATAACAAAAGCGATAATTTTCCTCTCTCGGACTCATGATCTACGGTTCTCTAATTCTAGTTTAAGTCAAAATTTACAGTGTATATATGCACATTTTTCTTAACTTTTTAAGTCCAGATACAATGTAACAATTTCAGTAAAATTCATAGGAGTATGATTATCATGGTTTATAGTCATGGAATTGTAATTTCTAAAGTAAAGTTTCTACAATATAGATAGCTGCAATTTCTTTTTCACTTAGTCCAAAATATCTTTTTTAGTTCACATTCAAACTTACATGTATAAAACCTAAATTATACCAAGACTTTTATAATGATCTTTTTCTTTTATTTACTGTCAGCATATTCTTTCAACATTAAATTTTAGGGCAGAGGGAGGGGAGCAAAATTCCTTTAAATCTGTGTGTATTTTTGAAAAGAATGTAATTGGCTAGTTTATTTTAAAACAAAAAATAATAATAACAAAAAAGTTTATCATAACAATGTTACATCCATGTACTATTACCAATGGGCTACCAGTTTGCAAATATCTACCTCTACTGTGAGTAAAACAAATACTAATTCTTAAACAATGTTTACAGGGGCAGATGTAGGGTTTGATAAAAGAGTGAAATTGTCTTTAACGTTACAAATAGGTCTGAGCATAGAGACGAATGTTACGTCGATTGTATGGAAAAAATGATTTTTTTTATTCAGACATTTGTACGTCCTCTATACCCCATCTGAATCTGTTGATGGCGAAAAAAGAGGTGAACATGATAAAATACATCTGTAATTAATGTTATTCATCATGACAAAGTTTAAAGAAATTGATTTAAACTGAAGAAACCATTATAGGGGTTACCATTTATATATTCATGAATATCAATAAAAGGAGATATTAGATAAACATCAATGAAACAGTAACTCAACAGCCTTAAAAAACATCCACATTTCTGTGATAGTCATTTACTAAGTCACTTACATAAAAATCTCCTGCCTGTCTAAAGTAAATTTAAAGATGTTATTTTGTATAAGTTTGTTCTGGAAACCAATTGATTGTTGGTGTTTTAACGCCACTTTTAAGCGCCACATTTGGGCTATTTCGTGGCGGCCAGTTTTTATTGGTGGAGGAAGCCGGAGTGCCCGGAGAAAACCTGGAAACCAATAGTCATATCTTTGGATCATCAGGGGGAATGCAGGTTTTGACAAAAATTGTAACCATAATAAAGGGTTTTAAATATGTACATGTATAATGTATCATATTTATTATCAGTTAAATGTTTTGTAGCTGAAGGATGCCAAACAGAAAGCTTCAGAAGCAATGACAAAGTTAAAAGAAATAGAATCAGAATTGATGGTAACTAAAGAAAGATGTCAAGAACAAGCCAAAGACTTACTCACCAAATCTGGTAGGTTTTCGGAAAGCATAAAAATGGAATCAAAATCTGTCAAACTGAAAGGATTTTCTTGATTTATCTTTAGTGTTAGGATGGTGAAATGTTGATAACTAGGAACTCCAAAGATGTATAAACAATACAAGTAAACGAAAGGGACATAAATGTAAAAAATTCTACATGTATACATGAAATGAAAAATATAAACATCAATTTTGACAGATTAATGTGGTCATCATGGTCATGGTGGTAATACATGTTTTTAAATACTGTTATAAATGTACATATAAGTAATGTGCTCTGAAAGTCTTTTTTATTGTTAAAGATGACCAAACTGTTCAATTGAAATGATAGAGAGGCAAATCATTATAATACAAAACCAAAATAATAAGGACTTGCAAAATATATTGCATCTTTATCATGTTCAATACATCTTCAAGGCTAAGTCTTTGTAATCTTTTTGCAAGAATATTGCAATGAATATATATTCTTTTGTCAATGTTTTCTTGTCCAAACACTTTAGTCCTGGGGAAATCATCTTCAAAATCAGTGACAGCTGCTATTAGCTACTGCTGTCACATTTATTATTTTTGTATTTGTAATTTGCAACATAAATTTAAAAACATGTATGTTCTAATGCAATGTTTGACACAGTCTATGCTAAAAACTATATACACACAAGCCTCTGAAAGCTCATTTCAAGAATATACTCCTATATGTCTAACCAATTTTTTCACCAGCCCCAACCAATTTTTACTAGTCAGCAACTGAGGGCTAATGATTTTCAGCACAAACAGAAAACAGTTAATAACACTATAAAGCAGTACCAAAACAAGTAAGCTTTTTTACCATGTGAGCATCTTTATGAATAATATCTCTGCTGCGAGAATATATTAAAGTTTCATATCTAATGAATATACTATAAATGGCATTTCTGGTCAAATTTTCAATATTTTTTATCATATTTGCACACATCCAAATTAATTATCACTGTGATGCAAACCAAATGCATAACAAGCCTTTGCATACCCTCCAAACAAATACAATTACATTTTATATTGAAGTTCCAAGTTGCCAGTTAAGGCCATACCACACCTGAATTAACACTGTATAACATGATCAAAATGAATACTCAAACTTTCACATATATGGTAAAGTTCATCACTATAAACATATTTCAATCTGCAAAAAGTTCATGCATATTTAGAATTGAGAGAGTTACGTAAGGTTTTTCTCATATGTTTGAAGCCTTGAATAACTAGAATCCAATCCAGTTTTCATGGTACAAAGTCTAAATCTTAACTAAATTTGTATAATGTAGGGAAAAAGATAATCTTCAGATTGATAATTAATAGTATTTACAAAATTATTTTTTTTATTTTCAGGTCAAATTGGAGAATTAGAAGGTACAAATATCCAAAAAACATCCAAGATTGCAGATTTACAAAAGGAAATAAGTCGGTTAAAGGACAGACTATCATGGCTAGAATCAGAGAGAAAAACACTTGAAAGTGAAAAAGATTCATTGTCTGAAGAAAAGTTGTCACAACTAAGATCTCTTGAACAGGTATCTAATTTTTGTAATGAAATAGAATTGTTGTTTGTTAATCAAAAACAAAGTCAATAATTAAAGACTTTAAAATAAAATTACATTTATGTTTCTTCGAAATATAAAGTTTGCAAGTAGTGCTAAAGTAAAATGTCTTGAATACCATATCGACTTTTCATTGTTATGTTTTTTGGTAAACAAGCTATTTTATTTTCAGTCTTATATGTTTTCAGTAGCATTTATTTCAATAAGTCTTGTCTCTGTATAAGTTAAATCAGTAACTATTTAATGGAAATAGTAAGACACACATTTAGGGTCGAAGTTAGAATATGAAATTGCCTACCATAAGTAGCTTTGTTAAGGTTTCATATTAACCATCTTCATATTTTTACATTGAGTTTTTACTTTTTTCTGATCTTTTGACAAATCTGATCAAGATTCAATAAATTGATTTCTTAATTCTGAAAATAACGATTACTGAATTGATTTAGAAATTTTAATATGAACATAAACATTGAAATTTTCAGTCATTGGAGGACCTGTCTTTAGAAAAAGAGACATTAGTCACACGTTATGAGAGAGAAATACAGAAACTAGTAGAAAAATCGGAAACACAGATCAAAGAACTGGCAGAGAAACATGCAAGAGAGATGCTGGAACTGAAAAAGTCAACTGAGACAGAAATGACTCAACAAAAACAAAAGGCAGAGAATGACTTATCAGAATGTAAACAGGTAATTGTTCAGTGTTGGCCACAAACAGAATGTTTCAGGTAGGCACAAACAAAATGTAAACAAAGAATTTTTCAGTTGTTAAGGTCTTTGGGTTGGAACAGCAAGTCCTTTAGAGTATGATAAGCCAAGTCAGCCATTCAGTTTTCACAGGGATGATTTTGATATTTGAGAAATTTTAAGTTGAAATAAAATAAGAATTTGCACAGCTTGTTCCTTAGAAAATGTTTGCATCTTCTGTTATGCTTTCTATTGTTAATTGCTCCTACATTTGATGTTTTTGACTTTCCATTATTTGGTACTAAGCTCCACTGACAAGAAATTAATTTTCAAAATATGCATAACAACAAAATTATTTTCATTTACCTGTGTATAATATGACGCAGGTTTCTTCAAAAGTGATGATTTTCTATAAATTGTTTGAAATTTCACAGTGATATTATACTTTAACTTTGTTTAAGCCTGTTTATTTACTTTTGACTTAATTATTTATCCCTTGTAATTTTTCATTAACTGTGTATTTGCATTCAGGTGTCACAGGTCAAATTTATGCGTTCATTGTGTGTTAATTTACGTTTTTTGATTGAGTTAAGCCTTCCAATTGATATTTTATAGTATGTTTTTCTATGTTGTGATGTTATACTATTGTTTCAGAAAAGGGAGAAGGTTTGGTACCATTAAAACGTTTAATCCCGCTGCAAATGTTTGCACCTGTCCTAAGTCAGGAATCTGATTACAGTAGTTGTCGTCTGTTTATGTAGTTCATACGTGTTTCTCGTTTCTCGTTTTTATAGACCGTTGGTTTTTCTGTTTGAATGGTTTTACACTAGTAATTTTTTGGGGCCCTTTATAGCTTGCTGTTCGGTGTGAGCAAATGCTCCGTGTTGAAGGCCGTACCTTGACCTATAATGGTTTACTTTTATAAATTGTAACTTGGATGGAGAGTTGTCTCATTGGCACTCATACCACATCTTCCTATATCTATAAACATAGTGCATCAAATAAGCTTTGATATATAATGGCAGCATGCTTAATACAATTGCAAGAGATTTTGTGTTCAATCTGAGCCCAGTCACCTCAATGACTGTAAATCGGCATTTTCTGCTTCCTCAGCAAGTAAATGACATTTAGGAGTAAAGTAAAATACTGATTAGCTCATAGTCACAATAATGTGTCAAGGTAGGGTGACATGTTTTCCTGAGGACCTTAACTTGTGAACTTACACACATTTAGAAGGAATAATAATGATGACACTGAACATGTCATTCTTGATAACAAAATTCCATGAAATCTTGTAGAATCTGCTATATTAACTTATGAATTTTATAACGAATATCCCAAAAACTTTAATGAGCTATATTTTTATCAAAACGGATATCTCATGTTTATTTATTTTTTTTCGATTCAATGATTACTACCAATTTTTCTGAAAATGAAATTTATTTTCATAGATTTAATTTATAAATTTATGGGATGGAAAAACATATGAAAATTCCCATGCTTTGGTGAAAAAGAAAAATGTTGCAGGGGTTAAAAGAATAAATGTTATCATACTCATGTTAAAAAGTTACTTTAATCTAATGAAATTTATTTATCAACAACATATTGTTTTTTAAGAAATCAGTTATAGTTCAATGAGCCAAAGTTGTATGCAAAATTTGAGCAAAATCTGTGACATAGCCCATTTACTGTAACTTGAGCTTAAAAAGTTACTTTAATCATGCATAGATAATAAAAAAAAAGTCAACATGGTCCTAAGTGAATTTTATGCACTATGGAATCAGTTAAACATTTTACAAAACTCATGTAAGGAATAAATTTTGTAACTTCTAATTATTTTAAGTGCTATTTTGACTGTTTTCAGCAATTGAAGAAGAAATACACTGACGACACCACACATCTGATATTTGAAAAAGATAAACTGAAGGATGAATATGAAAGGATAAAATCAGAATTGACAGTTAGATTAGAAAATTCTGAAAAAGAGGTAGGACTTACAATCTTAGTATATAAATGATAGCAAAGAATCTTTTAATTACTAGACATCCTTATAAGAAGTTAATAAGTAGCAGATTCGTTTGTGTGGAGTGAAAGCTTTATTTTAACAACTGAACTAAGGGCTCCAGTCTAAAAAAAATTAAGGTTATTCTTAGGACTTTGTTATTTGTTTTGCCTTCACTTTATAATTACAATATTTGATGTACAACTGAAAATCATTGCATAGTCTTGCAATGAGGTTTTATACTCAAAATTAACTAACGGACACAAACTACAGTATTCTCTTTTATTAGAATCAGAAATTATAAATCTCTAATTGTATATGCATGAAAAAATAAAATTGTAATATTTAACAAAAATAATTGAAAAAAGCCTCTACGATTTCAACAGTAATATTTTATAAAAGGTATAACATACGATCAGAAGTTCATAACTCGGAGTTCTGCTATGGTATATTAGATAATCGTAAGGCTTGAAAAATACACTTTTATAACTATTAACATATAATGATCTATTTATACAGTTAAGCAGAACGGTTTGTTTTTTATTACCATTGTGGGGATAAGTTTTCGGCTGAGGGTTATTAGAAATTAGAATGGACGATCACACCAAATATAAGATAGATCACAACAAATAAATTTGGAACTGTTTTATTGTGCTGAAATTAAAAAATTTAGCCTACATAATAATGTATGTTTATTCAATATTCAGTTTTCTTTTTAATAATTTCTATTTAAACAGAAGTATATCACAGATTGACAATCTCTTTACAACTCCTTAGCTTGCAGGTGTACTGTTAACCAATTGCCAAAATAAAAAATGCCATAACTTTTTATATACTTTTAAAACCTTAACTGCTAAATTTGACACCTGCAAAAATTACCTGCTATATAGTATAATACATATCTCAAGTTCTTTAGCATTAAATACTATTAGCACATAAATTGTTTTTTCAGCTTGGGTTTTTATATCAGTTGTGATGTTGAATTTTGTATCTTTATTGATTTGATGGATTTTCTTTCTGCACGACTATAGTTTGCATTTATATTGAACATAAATGTTTATAAACAATATCAGATTTTTCTGCAAAATTGAATTAAAAAAAGGAACATCAAATATATCTGGGTGATTATGTTATGTGCACCTATTCAAATCACAGTATGTATATAAAGTATGAGGTTTTTTAATGGTAGATCTTTAAGAATGACACATCAGATTTATTTCAGACTACTGGGCATGTCTATGTGCAAATTTTTCTAAGAGTAAAAAGCAGAATAAATTTTAAAAAAAAAGAGATAATTCCAAATCATTGTATGTGTTATAGTAAGATTTTGAATTCACTAGACTGATTTTTTAAGGAAAATGGTTTTTAAATGTTTTGAAGAAAGAATTTATTTGAATGAACATTTTTGTTGAATTTGTGATGTCAATGAAATACTATTTAAGCAACGAAAATTTTCACAAATAAATGTTTTATAAAAGTATTACATTGTAAAGTAATGACAAATATCTCTTCCAGGTTGCAAGACTGAATGCTATACTACAAGACAGTGAGGCTGGTCTGGGATCTGCATCAAGTAAGATAAACAGTCTAAAAGATGCTTCAATGCAACTTCAGACAGAACTGGAGAAGACAAGAAATGAACTTAGAACAGCCAAAAATGATGCCGCAACTTATAAAGTGAGTCATTGCCCTTCTGACAGGGTCAAAGTTGAAGTTGTCTTAAAACTCCATCACTTTAACGAAAAGTATTGACTAGGAAAAGTAAGGGGGGGGGGGGGGGGGGGGGGGGTTGTCAGTGAGAGTTGAATTTTAATGAAAAAAAATGTACTCTTGAATGTATAGTGGGTGAGGGCTTGGATGATAATATTTATAATATGAAGCATATTATCTAAATATTTGAAGGAAAATAAATTATCTTGAAAGTAAGATTATTGGAAATGTACTCTGATGCCTTGTCTAAATGTCTCATGAGTCCTGACTCCTGTGGTAACATGCTAACTGTAATGAATTTGAACTATATTGTAACATTAAAAACTTAGACTTGAAAATTGGAATTTTTAGCTTCTTCAGGAGGCTTGCAGCATATAGGAGCCATAGCAAAGACAAACCTTTATCTGTTATTATTTGACCTTTTTCATTTGAAGTCTAGCTTAGCATCTTCATTTAGTACAAAGTTAGCCAAGACTAATGGGCTCATAGTCAGAATAACATGGATGTAAAGGTTGTCTTATTGCAGACTTACTCCCATGAGCTGGTTCCTTTAAAATCTAACGTAGCACATCACAGAAATATTCTTTTATTTTGATATATAAATATGGATTGAATAGATAGCATCCTATTGACCGTTAACATTCTTTATGATACTTTTTCATATCTTATGATATATTATGATTTTTTGACCACCGGTTTTTATTGTTTTTTGGCTCCCTTAAGAGCACTGTCAGATGACACTTAATATGAAATTTGCAATGTTAATGATTTTAAATGTAGGATCAATTAGTTGTTTTATACATTTTGTGAAATAGTCTTATAAAAATTGTATAATTTCAGGCTGAACTTGATAAATTACGAGCAATGTATGACAGTAAAATGAAAGAAGCCAAATTAGATCTACAGAATCAACTAGATAAATTATCTAAGGATTTGGAGGGTAAATGGTCAGAAACATTAAGGTAAGCAGTTATAGGCAAGATATTCAAGAAAGTGTCGAGATGAAGAATAGCAATAAAAGCTGTTCCTTTGCTAAATTGTTACTGGTATCTCATTTCCATCCATCCCATATCACTTTATTTCCTAGAAAGAAATTTTTATCTTATTATATTGGAGATCCCTTATTTATGGATATCTATTTTAAGGAAACTGAACAAAGAAGTGTATGTATAACCTGATGAAATGATTTTTTTCTGTGATTTGTCATGTAAAATTTTTGAATCCACAAGTAAAAGTAGTTTTACAGAAATTTAACATGCTCAGATTAAATGATTTATTATACCCCACTCAAAATAAGGGGGTATATCGGTTTATGTATGTCCGTCTGTCCCATAATATTTTGGTAGCATTTTCACAGGAACGGAGCTATCTGAAATTTGGTATCATGCTTCATGTTAGCATGCTATACTGTGTGATGCATTTTCAGATTCATTTTCATAATTACTAGCTTTACACAGTGAAAATGCCAAAGAATGACAAAAAAATCAAAATATGAATGCACCATTTAAAAAAAAGTTGCAGTTTGTCTGATGGGGTAATAGTCACTTTCTCAAATTCTTTAAATTTGTTCACCTTCAAGTCTTTCTGTTTTATTGATGGTGGAAACTGGAATGCTTAGATAATGATTTACTAAGTAATTGATAAACTAAAAAAAAAAAATACAGATATATCAAGTCTATTTTGGGGTGTTTGCAATTGACTGGAACAAGTCTCATACCCATATTTCAATTGTTATAGGTATACACTTTGTCTATTTTTGAAGACTTTTTTTTATATTGTTGGGTTGCTGTCTCATTTACATATACCCCACATCTCTTTTTATTCATAAAATTATTTGTACAGGTAGATGTAAATCATTTACATTTACCAGTGGACTATTGAGTCACCTTGCATAACATTTTACAATTACTCTGCATTTATAAATACCACTGAAAGATCATAATCTTAATGTAGATCAGAATATTTCACCTTTTCTTCTTATAATAAGAAAAAATAAATATCTTTTCTGTAATTGATGACCAGATAATACAGTTAGACCCATTTTTCATGGCTCAAAAGAAGGCTGAATATGTGGTCAAGGAGATTATATTGTTAACTTTATCTTACCTCTGATAAGGAATTTTCTGTGCAATTTGAGAACGTAATGTAGAAGTTTAGATGTCTTTTTTTCATTCCAGAACTGAAACATCTAGATTAAAACATGACATCACACAGCAGAAGGATGATGAAAGAAAAGCTGCTTTGCAGCAATTGTCAAAACTTAAAGATGAGGAAATGAAAGCAAGCAAAGCTGGCTGGGAAAAAATCATTGCTGAGATGCAGAAACAGGTAATCCCATAAAATTGGACTGTTAACTTAGTTTTTGTCTCCTAAGATACTTATTTTTTTTCGCAATTTGAATTGAACTCATAGAATTTAAATAAGACTTCTTTGTATAAACTTATGAAACCATTGATAAATAAAGATTTGAAAGAAATTATTTTCAAATCTGAACTATTGTTATTGTAATATCTTGGTTATATAGGTAGACAGATCTAAAGTATCACTTTTACACATATGAAACATATGTAAACTTTTGAAATTTATTTAGTTTTGCCCTGTTATGTAATATTAGTGCCTTAAAAGACAACATACTGTATGAGAAGTAAAAAGAAATTTAATATTTGTGTCTGGATATTTATTTGAAAAAGCAACATGCATATAATAAATGATAGACTCTTGGCAAATTTTGCTTTGAGGTCCAGTAATAATGATGCTTTGGAAGGTTATTTAAATTTTGCTTTAGTGCATTCATGTATCTATAAAAATCCTGGTTAAGTTGTAAGCAACTAAAAATCAAAGAATCCACAGTTCTTAATGATAGTTACCTTTAACAGATGGCCATTATGGAAAGTAAAATATCAAAGAGTTACTCTGAATCCGCTGAGGAAATAGAGAGATTGCGGAAGGAGGCTGAAGAAGAGAAAAGAAAACTAGAGAGGAAGATTGTCGAGGCTGAAGAAGAATATTCACAAAATGTCAAACTTATGGAGTCCTCACATGAACAAGAAAAAGAAAGGTTACTGAGACAGAAAAATCAAGATGCTGAGGTAAGAATCATTGCTTAAAATAACAGGTCATTTACCTGTCTATATTCCTGCCTGAGGCAAGTAATATTCTTGGCAATATAGACAAGTGTGATGGTATAGTGAAAGATATATCATACTGTGGCTTCATTAATATTCATGGGATACCAATTTTCATGGAATTCGTGGGTAAAGATAAACCACAAATTTAGATGTTCAACGAAGTACCGATTGTCTATAGGACTATATGCAGAGTTGATCAAAAACACGAAATCAAATATCCACGAAAATACAATTTTTTTCAATCCACGAAAATTGGTAACCACGAAAATGAATGAATCCATAGTAATCATTTATGAAAATATTGTTTTGGACAGACTTGCATTTTATGAAAGTTTATTATTAAACTCTGAAAGATTTTGCTTTCTTTTAAGCACTTCTTAGAACAAACATTAACCAGTCAGAAGCATAAAGGAATATATCAGTTGGTCAGCAACCTAACAACAAAATTCAAAACATGTTGCTTGGTTTTTTTAGAAAGAAAAATAAGAAATATTCATTTACATTTCAAAAACTTATTTATGACTTTATTCCAGGAATTAGAGAGAAGAATGAAGTCAGCACATATGGAAGATATGCAAGTTCATTTGACAGCTCATAAAGCAGCTGTAGAAGGAGTAAAATCAGAAGCAGAAGATAAACGTCTGGCTGATCTGGAATCACAGTCAAAGAAACACAATGAAAAAATTGGTATGAATTAAAAGATATGTGAACACATTAATGAGATATTAGTACAACTCAATAAATATCTAAGATCATAATAATCTTTAATTGTCGGGCAAACATCCATATCATATTGCAATCTCTAAATGGAACTAGTTTTAGATAAGTAATTTTTTAACTTGCAAGTTTTACTTTAACCATTGTTTTAGGTATAGTTAAGGTTCTAATCAATGAACACTGACTTATATAATAATATGAGGGTTTAACTTTTATTTTATAAGTATTACTTTTCTTTGATTTTAATAATTAAAAGGTACATATATTCTTTGATTTTAATATAAATTTAGTTATTACTGTTCTGTGATTTTGATAATTTATACAATAAAAGTAAGAATGTATTTCTTTTTTTTTTTAAATTAAATCCAGAAATTTTGAAAGCAATTTCTTGTACCATGTATAGATTCACATTGTAAACAAAATGAAATATAAAAAAGAAAAATTTGCCTTTGAGATGGCAGGAAATTAGACTACAAAAAAAACAACAGAAAATCCTGAAACTTCATTAAAGGGACCTGTGAGTGAAGTCTTTGGGTTACTCTTTTCATGAACAATGAATATATGTATTATTTTGATGACAAAAAATAAGAAGAATTGAGATGAAATAAAGAATGCTTTTTGTATAAAACAGACCGAATAAAAGGGGTTCAGGTGAAGTTTTTTTTTTGTGTAATGTAATATTGGTATTATAACTTTTAGCTAATGTACGAGATGAGCTATCCACTCAGCATCAACAGTTTGTAGATGAAGTAGAAAAAAGCCATGCTTCACAGATGCATACAGCTAGGATAGAATTAGAGAGATCGATAGAAATTTCAAGGCAGAAGGTATGGACTTATTTTCTACATTAAGAAAGAATTTGTTTTACAATAAAACTTGCATAGAATAAAGCAAAGCATACATTTTTGCAACAAAATAATTTGAAACATTTCAATGCATGAAGTAGTGTAGCATTACAAATGATAAAAAAAACCTTTACCACTGGGGTCCCTCTTTTGGCAATGTTAATCACTGCCTCCTACTTCATACTCATACAAAGTGAACAAGATATAGGCTAATAAATTGTTTTCATGGATTTCTTGCTGAATAAAAGAATAAATTTACCAATGAAATACACAATTATCATTGGTTTAAGATGTGCAAGGTCTGAACCACAAGATAAGTGAGCCTTAATGTATGAATTACTTCTGTGTATTTAGGACAAAGATCATCAAATGAAAACAGAAGAGTTACAAAGTGAAATAGGCCATAGAGAAAGACATATAAACAACCTGAAAGATGAAATACATGATCTGAAAGACAATATTGAAAGATTACTTAGGGAGTTGGAGGGCAAAGGGAAAGAAATACTCAAAGTCAGGAGTGATGCTAACCTACAAATCAAGTATGTACATTAACTCTTTCAAACTATGAAAATAATTAATTGCAGACACAGATTCATAGGAGTCCGCAACAGGGCTTCCAAAATGGTCACAATTGCTGGACAAATATAAATTTATCGGACATTGTTTGTTTGGGCCAAGCATGAATCAGACATCCTATTTAGGTTTGCCATTTTAACGTTCGTGTTATTCAGAAAAATCAACCATTTTGACTTGACCTTGTTCCTTAAACAGTATCACACTTTTCTGGTCATATAAGTGACAGTACCCTATAAACAAGCCCTACTATAATTCCCTCTCATTACAATCAAGGTTAACTTAGTGTCTAACAGGTATATTTACATGGGCGCGTTGCATTTGCGCCAATTTTTGCAAAATCCAATCTTTCATTTGCGCCACTAGGTTATATTTCATTGGTGCCAAAAAATAAAACTACAGTTGCGCCATTGTACAGGTAGCATATAACGGAAAAGTTTAAAATATTCATTGCTACATCGTGAATAAGAATCTTTTTTAGTGTACATGAGTACATACAAGCTGTTGCTTACATGTCTTGTTCCAGAACAAACTTTTGGTTTTACTCCAGTGTATAGTGCTTTTTTTTAGATTTTATGATCTTGTTAATTTATAAGAGAACTGTGTTTTAACATTATTATGAAAAGTTTCTTTTGAATAAAACTATTTTTTATACTATTTACCTGTATTTACCTGTTTTATTGGCGCAAATGAAATGTTTATTTTGGCGCAAATGAAATATAGTTTGTTGCGCAAATGAAAGATTATTTTGGCGCAAAAGCAAAGCACCAATTTACCTGTGATCACCTGTGTCAAGTAAACAAATTGTACCGGACATCAATCCAACATTTTGGAAGCTATTTTTTTTTTTATCAAAATTAAAAAAATTCCTGGTTTAAATCTAATTTTAGCAAAACTGATTTAGACTATCAGAAAAAACATATTTGAAACAAAAAGATCATTTATTTACAAAGGTGGTAAAAAAGTTTAACAGACAGAACTAGGTAGATTGAAATATTACAAGTGTGCACATGTACACAAGTGTGATATTTATTATTTCATAATGTCTCCGAATTCATCCAAATTATAAAAATGTCACTTACACCCCATAATCTTACGTTCATCTCAAGTATTTTTCCTAAGAAATAACGTGGAAAGAACTGCTTAATCTCAATAATGCTAGATAAAAATACCTGGATTTTGCACAAATGTCTCCGTTCCGCGTTCTATCGTCGTCAAGTAAATATCCAGTATTGGAAAACGTGTTTATCAAATAACTAAGCTGGTCCTCGACTGACTAATACACTATGTTAAGTCTGCAGATATATGCCAATTCGAACCATACACTATCAATTTGATTGTTAATGTCATACATGGAATTTATATAAAATCTGAAAAAGTATGAAGTCTATGAAGTTTATCTTCCTTTAATAGCTTGATGGCTTTATCATATGGTTATTTCCATCTTTTGTTATGGGGGAACCTGTCTAAAGGGATAAAAAAACGGGATTGAAAAAAATGTCCTGCTGGCTCAAATATTTTTTGGAAGCCCTGGTCAGCAACCATATTCATCACTCTAGAACAAGATAACTGTATGAAAAAATATGGTATTTCTTATTGGGAATAAATGTTATTTAAAAAAAAAAAAATTTCACATGCCCTTAATCTGATTCTTGGAATTGTCCAGTGTCTGGAAAACATAATTATACTGGCAGTGATAGGGAAGGACATGCGCCTTGTGCCAATTGCGCTTATCGACCAGAAATGGCGCATAGAGTGACAAATGTAAGCGCCCGCGTGGCGCATGATATTTTTCACTTCGTTTTGAAACGTTGAGATATCGTCAAATGGATTTCCGATCGTATTTCGTACCGCCATGTGTGAGTACACAACTGTGTAGTGTTTACTCCAATGATAGGAGCACCTATATATTTTTGGGACGTCTCGGGTGTTTTCCTATGGTAATAATAGCAACATGCGGTATGACTGATAACCCAAAAAACATAATTAACCATTATTCATGATATAATTTTTTTATAAACAACTTTAAATTTGTGAAAATTGGCTAGTACCTAATTATAATCTTTTAAGTAAGCTTGCTATTATTTCGATTGAAAAATCCAAAAGCCTTTTTATGAATAGCATAGTATTTGTCTCCATAAAAGGGGCTTAACTGTCCTTGTCAATTTTTTTGGTCTTTGGCTCGTTTTGACATTTTGTAAACATGCCTTCAGCGAATTTTTGTTGTGTCTTATCAATTAACGTTGCTCTCTACTGTTATTCTTGTCATCGTGATAAAGTAATAATAATACAAGTGCAGAGGAAATGCCAGAAACGTCCTCTAATACGGAACGTCTGGAATAAGTATGGTATCGACGAAGACCCAAATTTAATGTAAAAAAAAAACATGAACATGAACAAGGGAACAGTACAAGTTTTAACATTGTAAATAAAGGTTATCGTAAATATTGCCCGGTTTGGAAGAAGTTATTGTATATTCATTGAAATTGAAATTACAAAATCACAGGAACAATATCCATGATATTAATTAGAATCATACTTGTAAGTACAGTGAAATATACACTTTTTTTTATTTTTTTTTTTATTGTAAATGAATATCCCTCTCATTTGACAACATGGCCCATTAATTCAGAAAATGGCTCATTGAATTTATTTTTGGGGGGCCCTGGGCCCAAAGAGAAAAAATCCTTCCAGATCACTGTACTGGCTCATCAATATTCACATTTAGAAATTTCTATTTTAAGAAATATTGGAAGGAATAATTTGTTACTTATTAACAAATGTTGAAAATCTGTTAATCAGCTGAATTGTATAGATATTTGACATCTTCTGTTTGTTTTAATAATTGCAGCTTTTTAAAATTGTGTTTGGTAAATTAGGTAGTTCTTAATTTCATTTCTTTAATTTAATTCTAACCAATTTGAAGATAACGCTATAATAAAAAAACAGCATTATTTATTATGCTTGCATTGAAAATGACCGCCAAGATAAACTAAAAAATTCTACAATCTGCATCATAATCTTTGTTTAAAAAAGAGAAAAACAGTGAAAAATTCTTCCTGTCTTTTGCAACTAAACAGTTTGAGGTCATAAGTATGAATATGGTGTCAAACATAAACATCAGAATTTTTCAAGCTTTTTTGACTGCTTAAGAATGACATCAAGTTTGTAAAAAAGAAATTTTAGGTGAAACATGAGTGTTATGTTTGTCATTAAAGAAATCACAAATCATCATTGCCACAAGGATGAAGTATTCTGTTACAGGCCATAACTGTAAGAGAAACTTTATGCCATCAAAACATGAATAAAAACAATGTTGTTGAATTCACAGATTTTCCAGGGTGAATTCTAAATATACAGTTATAATTAATCTAAGTAATAAGCTATGAAAGGCAAATTTTCTGTGATAGAACAATAGTCATTAATAATTCTGTACATTTTAAACAGGAAAAAAGAAGAGGTTATGACAAAACAGTTTAAGAATGATTTAGAAAATGTGAAAACTGACCACAACAAGGAGATAGAACAAATGATGGAAGATTTTACTGAAGCTCAAGAAATACTCAAAGATAAAATCTCAGAAACTCAGATAGCGTAAGTATGGAAGGCTCTTCTGTATTTAGACTAAAAAATTTAAAATATTGAAAATTGGTAAAATTGTCTTGTAGGCACTATAGTACTTTCTTTGTTTATATCTATTCTTATCAAAAACTTATACATATAAAAACAAGGAGATGTGGTATGATTGCAAATGAGACAACTATCAAATGCAGTGGATGTAAGCAAATATAGGCCACCGTATGGCCTTCAACAACGAGAAAAAACCCATACTGTATAGTCTGCTATAAAAGGCCCAGACACTTTATATATATACTATCTCTCACTTGAATTTGAAAATAATGTTGGTGAAAATTTTTTTGGAAAACCTAAGAAAATTTCAAGAACTTGCCATGTACAAGTTTTTACAAGCTTTATCTTGACCAAATTAAAAAAGAGTGCCAATCATTTTTTTTGTAGGAGCTACTGCAGGAATAATCTTTAGACTGCCTTGTTATCATTCTTCCTTATAGGAAACATATTTGACCCTCATGTACATTTTTTTTTAAACAACAGAATACTATTGTTCACTATAAACAGTGATCTGGAAGGATTTTTTCTCTATGGGCCCAGGGCCCCCCAAAAATAAATTCAATGGGCCATTTTTAGAATTAATGGGCCATGTTGTCAAATGAGTGGGCCATTCGTTTACAATAAAAAATAAATAAAAAAGTGTATATTTCACTGTACTTACAAGTGTGATCCTAATTAATATCATGGATATTGTTCCTGTGATTTTGTAATTTCAATTTCAATGAATATACAATAACTTCTTCCAAACCGGGCAATATTTACGATAACCTTTATTTACAATGTTAAAACTGGTACTGTTCCCTTGAATTGTTCATGTTCATGGTTTTTTTTTCATTAAATTTGGGTCTTCGTCGATACCATACTTACTCCAAACGTTCCGTATTAGAGGACGTTTCTGGCATTTCCTCTGCATTTGTATTATTATTACTTCATCACGATGACAAGAATAACAGTAGAGAGCAACGTTAATTGATAAGACACAACAACAATTCGATGAAGGCATGTTTATAAAATGTCAAAACGAGCCAAAGACCAAAAATATTGACAAAGACAGTTAAGCCCCTTTTATGGAGACAAATACTATGCTATTCATAAAAAGGCTTTTGGATTTTTCAATCGAAATAATAGCAAGCTTACTTAAAAGATTATAATTAGAGAAGAATTCTCGCCTGTACTAGCCAATTTTCACAAATTTAAAGTTGTTTATAAAAAATTATATCATGAATGATGGTTAATTACGTTTTTTGGGTAATCAGTCATACCGCATGTTGCTATTATTACCATAGGAAAACACCCGAGACGTCCCAAAATTATATAGGTGCTCCTATCATTGGAGTAAACACTACACAGTTGTGTACTCACATATGGCGACACGAAATACGATCGGAAATCCATTTGACGATATCTCAACGTTTCAAAACGAAGTGAAAAATATCATGCGCCACGCGGGCGCTTACATTTGTCACTCTATGCGCCATTTCTGGTCGATAAGCGCAATTGGCGCAAGGCGCACGTCCTTCCCGATCACTGTATAAAAACCTATTCCATAAATTTAGATTTTATCAATGATTTAAGGTTTTTGTGTGACTTTCATATCCTTAGTCATTGTTGAGAGTTGTAAGGGAGTTACACTTCTTGTAAAGGTTGGTGGCATCAGGCTTGTGGCATGCATGTGGCATTCTTGTCTGATTTTATTGCTAATTCAAATTATTTTGAAATATTTTCTGTAAACTTGAAGGTTTATATATTTTTTTCAGTTTACAAGAAGCCTCAGAGAGGTATCGTAATAGGGAATCCAGACCAGAGGATCTAGAATTGATAGAACAACTAAGACATTCAATCATTGAAAAAGAACAGAGAATGAAACAATTAATTGTAAGTTTTAAGTAATTGGATAATACATCAAAACGATAACAGGAATAACCAAACATATTTGAGAGTACAACAGACCACAGCGACATCCAATTCATCTGAAAAAATAGATATACAACATAGACAAAAAAGCATTGAATAACACATGGTCAAGGTAGCCTGACATTGTACAGGCTAAAGGTGGTGTGGTTAAACCAGTTAAATGTACACACAAACCACCCACTTTGCCTTTCAAGACCCTGTGTTATAAAAGTGAAACTCATCAAAAACCTGCACAGTCCAGCTATCAACAGGATGACCACCAACTTGAACATGAAAATAAAAGTTAGGACATGATTTTTTTATTGATTTTTGGTGTTTTAATGCCACTTTTAAGCACCGCTTTTGGGCTATTTCGTGGCGGCCAGTTTTTATTGGTGGAGGAAGCCGGAGAAAACCACCGACCTTCGATAGGAAAATTGACAATCCTAGTCAATTAAGATTGGAGTCGAGTACAAATACAGGAAGCTAGTTAAGGTAGCCACAGCATTTAGCACCATAACAAGAACAACTATATCTGATGTCTGCTTTCTTTGCACTGTCAATATTTCAAATTAGTGAACCATAAAAAATAGGTCATGTGGTCATGATTTTCATCTATGTTGAAACTAAACATGTTTTACTTGTATTGAAAATGTGTATTATTAAATCCTTAACGAGATATAACAGACACAACACTGCATATATTTTAACAAAAATTGCCTGACTTATTTTTTCTTTTATATCAGGATGAGAAACGGTATTACCAAATGGAACTAGTCAACAGAGAAACCAATTTCAACAAAGTATTTAACACAGCTCCCAATGTAGGGGTCATGAACCCGTTGCAACAAAAGGTAAGCTATTGTTATTACTGCAGTTTTACCATTTTATGTAGAATTATGGAACCCCCCCCCCCCCCCCCACCACCAATATACTTTTGAGTAATTTTACATACATCAAATGGATATACAGTTATAAATGACACATGTCCGAAAAGACAAATCAGGTGAGGAAAATATAGTGAATATAACATATGGACAAACTAATGATGAGATTTTTTTTTCAAAAGTTTTTGTTTTTAATAAATGTAAAATTTTCTGTACTTTCTTGTATGTGTTCCTCAGATGATTTTGACCTCCTTTTTGTGCCCTGCATACAATATTAGGGGGCATAAGCTTTTCCAGTTTGAGTCTATTTGTTGTCCTTTGTAAGGTTGAAGATATGGTTTAATGTTTTACTTTCAGTTGGAGTCATATCAGCTTGAAACTTCGTACTCTTGAAGTTGTGGTCACATCAGCTTGAAACTTCGTACTCTTGAAGTTGTGGTCACATCAGCTTGAAACTTCGTACTCTTAAAGTTGTGGTCATATCAGCTTGAAACTTCGTACTCTTGAAGTTGTGGTCACATCAGCTTGAAACTTCGTACTCTTGAAGTTGTGGTCTCATCAGCTTGAGACTTCGTACTCTTGAAGTTGTGGTCTCATCAGCTTGAGACTTCGTACTCTTGAAGTTGTGGTCTCATCAGCTTGAAACTTCGTACTCTTAAGTTGTGGTCACATCAGCTTGAAACTTCGTACTCTTGAAGTTGTGGTCTCATCAGCTTGAGACTTCGTACTCTTGAAGTTGTGGTCTCATCAGCTTGAAACTTCGTACTCTTAAGTTGTGGTCACATCAGCTTGAAACTTCGTACTCTTTAAGTTGTGGTCACATCAGCTTGAAACTTCGTACTCTTGAAGATGTGGTCACATCAGCTTGAAACTTCGTACTCTTAAAGTTGTGGTCATATCAGCTTGAAACTTCGTACTCTTGAAGTTGTGGTCACATCAGCTTGAAACTTCGTACTCTTGAAGATGTGGTCACATCAGCTTGAAACTTCGTACTCTTAAAGTTGTGGTCATATCAGCTTGAAACTTCGTACTCTTGAAGTTGTGGTCACATCAGCTTGAAACTTCGCACTCTTGAAGTTGTGGTCTCATCAGCTTGAGACTTTGTACTCTTGAAGTTGTGGTCTCATCAGCTTGAAACTTCGTACTCTTAAGTTGTGGTCACATCAGCTTGAAACTTTGTACTCTTGAAGTTGTGGTCATATCAGCTTGAAACTTCGTACTCTTGAAGTTGTGGTCACATCAGCTTGAAACTTTGTAAATCTTGAAGTTGTGGTCACATCAGCTTGAAACTTCGTACTCTTGAAGTTGTGGTCACATCAGCTTGAAACTTCGTACTCTTGAAGTTGTGGTCACATCAACTTGAAACTTTGTATTACCCATGTTCATCATGATGTGAACCTTTTAGAATATTTGCCACAGTAGGGTTTTAAAAAACTCCATCATTGATACTAGGCTCATAATTAATAGACATGTGTTTACTCTGCATAAGACTCATCAGTGGTGCTAAAAAAAAAAAAATTTGACCCTGATTTCGCAATTCACTGAACATGGAAATGTGATAGTATAAGCAGGAATGGCATCCAACGTACAAATATGCGTGTTTCATCATATTTTAGATTTATATCAGACACTTCAAATTGGTATTCAGTCTCTCAGTATTTTATGCTTAGTAGTAACTGAAATAAAGCTGTTGTCTCTTCAGCTCATTAAAAAAAGGTTTGATATTTACTGAGCAGCTAATTCTTTAATCACTTATCATCTTCATCTTTTTCTTTTATTTCAGAAACCAAAGAAAGGGGAAAAGAATCTCCCAATGAAACATTCAAGTTCGCCAAATCTGAATGGCAGTCACCAAAAACTGGATCCATTACCAAACTCTCCTTTACACAATGGCAATTTAAATCCATCACGGCCGTTACCGAGTTTTACGAAAAAATTTGTGAAATGATAGGATATTGTTACTATTGATTAACATAATGTGTATGCCATGCTAGCCAAGTTCTCTGGAAAGTGACATCAAAGTGTATTTTATATAAATGTGTGATATAAGTAATCAATACAGATGCCTTTTATATTTGCTAGCCAAGTTAAATTTATATAAAACTGTTGATAATTCAACTTGCTGTGTAATTCAGAAAATTATCACTAGATACTGTATAATTGTACAGAATAATGCAGTAGTATGTGGCAAAAAATAAACAGATGGAAATTTGGTTCCAAACTTTCTTTGAATAAATATATAATGCAAAGGACAATAACTTTTTACAGGGTTTTAAAATATATTGGTCAGAACTGTATCCTTTTGATTTCACAAATTTTAAAAAGAAATTCAGTTTTGAAATATGTGTGTATGTAAATCAAGCATAAAAATGACAACAATCATTAATAAAAAAAATTGGAACCACTATTCTAAAATTTAATATCAGAGATTTTGACTTTTATGTATGAATTATTTATGACTGTTAGCAGTTACATGGCAAATTCTTGTCTGACAATTTTATAAATCTAGATCAAATAAAGAGTGAAAATTTTCTATAATACAATACATTTCATCACTCAGGTCCTAAATTATTTTATAGATGTTTATATTATTACATGAATATTTTAAGTGCTAATGTAATTTCCATGTTATTCTGTTTTCTCCATTATTTGCCTTTAGTTAATTTCTCACTGGATTTGCAAAATACATGTCATTATTAAGCAGATAAGATATGTTTAGATATTGTAAACTTGTATGTTATAACAGTATATAAAAACTCCTTCAAAATCATTCTTATATGGGGCTGTGATAGCATTTAGGTTGTATTATTATGATAAAGTTGTAGAGTTTATACACAATTTTTATATTCAATTAAGCGTAACTGTGATACTTTTTGATGTACATGTATAGTTTATTTGCTATTTATATGTTTTATTATCTACTGTGCAAGAAGTTTGATTCATGTAGTAACAATGTTTGTGGATTTCTTGCTATTTCTTTATATACTTTATAGTTTACCTTGGTTTATATACTTTATAGTATAATTTGGTTTTTATTCAAGAAATGTATCAAATTAATTAAGCTACATCGCAACCCTGTTTCACAAAAGATGAACCATATTGTTATCTAAGTGTGTATATTATTTTAACACTTATTAAAACTACTTATTACTTAATACTATTAAATATTGTAGCATTGATTTGTTATGAGCAAAGTTTGAAACCAAGATTTAAGAAAATTCACGAAGCAATGATTATCATCCACTTGGATTGAATATCTTTAGAGATGATAGATATCATGTCGTTCAACATTTGAAACAATTGTTTGTCATCTTTTAATACATTTTTGAATTAAGGATGTATAAGTCGTGCAACTTTTACTATAAATCTCACATTTTTCACTGCAGACAACTCTTTAAGTAATAAGGGAAAATTGTATACATATATGTAGATAAAGGATTAGTTGGTAATACAGTCAAAGATGTAGATGTAGAGACATGAATAGAATTGTTTCTTTAATTGGAAAGTAATATATTTTGTTGTTGAGATTTAATTTATTTTACTTCTTGTATAAAATAACGAGACATGGTATGGTATGATTGCCAATTTTTGTATGTAATTGTTTTGTACAATATATTGTCCTTTTGTTTCTGCATTTAGTATTTTAGCAACAATATTGACAATCCTTGGGGAAAAAAAAGAATATTCTTTATTGTTCAAAATCATACTATAGGGAAGCTGAAATTGGCCATTCCCAAAGTAAAAAGAATGGGGCATTTGAAATAGAAATATTAGAAATGTTATGAAGTCATTGGTTTAAGATACTTTTTTAATATTTTCTGACATGCTTACTTGTCTCTGTTATGATGTAAGCTTTTATAGAGATACTGTTTGTCTGTACTCAAAAGTGCCTAAAACAGGGAATTCCTTTTTGTATATATCAGTATTATTTGATTTGTTTTTGGTATTGGGGGTTTCTAGACATCAATCTGACCCAATCTTACAAGTGTCTTCTTAAGTTGAAATGAATGTGTATAATATCATAACTTAAATTAGCTATTTTTTAAAGAATGAGATTAATTGTTTCTGTCTTTGGTCATGAAAATGAATGAGAAGTATTATGTGTATCTATTATTTATTGAGTTGGACATGTTAAAATGGCTTACACACCAGGATCCTTTTTATACACTAATAAAAAAAATTGATGAATAATGATTGGAAAAAAGAGATGTTTTCCTTGATATTTTGTGTTGGCCCAAAATTTTATTAATGTTTTGATAAATTAAAAGAACACAGATGTTTGCCTTGATTTTTGTACTGGTCATATAAGTTAATGACTATCTTTTTTTGATATCTTGTACAGGTCAAATAATTTAGTAATGATTTATGAAAAGACCAGATATTTTTAGCTCACCTTTCCAATGGAAATATTAGCTTTTGCCATCACTTGGTGTCCGTCCAGTGTAAACTATTTCAAACATCTTCTCGGAAACTAGTGAACCAATTCCAACCAAACTTAAGCTGAATGATCCTTAGGGTATTTAGAATAAAGTTTGTGTTTTATTTTCTGTTTCGTCAAAAAAAATGGCTGCCATGGCTATAAATAGAACATAGGGGTTATATCTCAAAAACTAAAGTATTTAGAGCAAATCTGACATGGGGGTAAAAATGTTCATTAGGTCAAGATCTTTCAGCTCTGAAATTTTTAGATGAATCTAACAACCTATTGTTGGGTTGCTGCCACTAAATTGATAATTTTAAGGAAATTTTGCAGTTTTTGGTTATTATCTTCAATATTATTATAGATAAAGATAAACTGTAAACAGCAAAAATTTTGAGCAAAGTAAGTTTATATGACCAAAATTGTCAATTGACGCCTTAAGGAGTTATTGCCCTTTAAGGACAATTTTACACAATTTGTTTATCATGTTTTCTAACTTTAAAAAATCTTCTTCTCTGAAATTACTGAACCAAATTAAACCAAACTTAAGCTGAATGATTCTTAGGTTATCTAGAATAAAGTTTGTGTTTTATTTTCTGTTTCCTCAGAAAACATGGCCACCATGGCTAAAAATAGAACATAGGGTAAAATGCAGTTTTTGACTTGAATCTCAAAAACTAAGCATTTAGAGCAAATCAGACAAGAAGTTAAAAGTATTCATTAGGTCAAGATCTACCTGCCCTGAAATTATCAGCAAAATCGGGTATCTGATTTTTAGGTTATTGCCCCAGAATTTATGTTTTTAAGGAAATTTTGCAGTTTTTATACGACCGCAAAAAATTTTGCGGTCGTATATTGGTATGACGTTGGCGTCACCGTCGTCCGAAGACACATTGGTTTTCGCACAATAACTTTAGTTTAAGTGAATGGATCTCTATGAAATTTTACCATAAGGTTCAATACCACAAAAGGAAGGTTGGGATTGATTTTGGGGGTTATGGTACCAACAGTTAAAGAATAAGGGGCCAAAAAGAGGCCAAAAATAAGCATTTTTGTAGTTTCCAGACAATAACTTGTGGAACGGTGTATGGATTTCTCTGAAATTATACCACAAGTTTCCATACCACAAAGGGATGGTTAGGATTTGCTTTGGGGGGTTATGGCTCAAACTGTTTAGGAATTAGGGGAAAAAAAGGAGGAAAAACAAGGGTGTCCTGGTTAATGGACAAATACTTTAGTACAAAACATAATTTAAAGCAGTGTAAGGGAGGTAATTCAAATACATCATAGTGTATTGCACAAAAGCAAAAAAAAAGGGGGGATAATTTTTTTTTTTTTTTTTGTGGGGGGAGGGGGGATCAATTCGCAAAAGCAAAGTGTATTGCACAAAAGCAGAAAATTGAATATAAATTCAAATCATATAACCAATTCTAAGTTCTTTGACTACAGTTATTCTGTGTCAGAAACCTTTTATGTGTCAAATATTTAATTACAATCCAAATTCAGACCTGTTTCAAGCGCGAATATTGCGTCCATTTTTGCCCCAACTGTTAAGGGTTGGACCTCTGCGGTCGTATACAGATTGCTTACTTTAAAAAATCTTCTCTTTGAAACTGCTGAATCAATTTCAGCCAAACTTGGGCTGAATGAGTTTCAGAGTATCTAGTATAAATTTTGTATTTTATTTCCTTGTATGTCAAGAAACAGCCACTATGACTAAAATGGAACATAGGGGTAAAATGCATTTTTTTGCTTTTGAAGAAAATATGACAGATACAAAGAACATTTAAATGGCATTTTTAAGCCACTCATTAATATATATTGAAAAGCAAAAATAATCATTGATGAAAGATTTAAGCAAAAAATTATAGGTGAGCGATTCAGGCTCTCGAGAGCCTCTTGTTTGTTTTTCTCTTAATATTTTGTACTGTTTCAGTTCTTTTTGTACATCACTGTTATATTTATGATTGATTTTAGTCTGTGATATGCAACTAATTTGGGTTCAGTCTTGCCATTCTGTTTCAACTAACATCTTTGTTTTATTTTTGAAATAACATATGGAAACTTTGAACTACTTATGTTTAACTCAACTGTGTTAGTGCTAACATTGGAGCTTTATTTTAATTGTATATATATGAGCATTTCTAAAAGTCTCCTATTTATTCCTTTTTTGTACAAATTCCAAAATAATAGAATCCAAATGAATTGTTTCGTCGTAAATGTAAAGAACTTAGTGTTATTTTCTGCTCAAGATTTTTTCTATACTTAACTCTTAAAAAAATGTATGTAGTTGCATCCATTTATGTCATTAAACAGAAAAAGTTTTCCCGTAGACCATAATGTTTTAGCCAGTTAGTTCAAGAAATCACAGGTCTTTCTGTATGAAAATGTAACCCAAGTGTAGTCTTTGTGAGAAGTTGATTTGTTCTTTAAATAGAACATACACTAATCAGTACGAGTCTGTTGGTGATATATATTCATTAGTCTTAGGTTTGGATTCTATTGAGACTTATAATTTATTGCATGTAGATCTTTGTTTAAAAACTATTAAAAACAGTTAATTTGTGATATGTTAATTTACACTCATTGCCAGAAAGGATCAAAAGAGAAGGTACATTTTGTGGCCTATTTATCACTGTATATTCACCAAAAATAAAAAATTGTATGAATCAAATTCTTTAATCTTCAAAAGGGAAATTTTGGATATTTGCAAAGCATTGAAGACAAATTTTGCTTTATGTCATAAAAGTGACGCCATAAGGGAGATTTTCAGGTAAATTGCAAAAATTGACTAATTTCAGAAACATTTTGGCTAAATTAATGAAATGAAATTCTCCAAAAATTACTTTTTTGCAATTGAATAAGATAAACACAAGGTGTACTGACGGCTGTATATATATCTTTTTGTGGGATGGTTGTGCTCTATTCCTGAGCATCTGCAAGTCAAATAGTCACAATTGTGCTTGATACCTGTGATTTGAGGTAAAATTTTGCTCAAAATCGTACCGCCACCTTTAGGAAATATCATATTCATATGTATTTAATAAATCTTGGGTTATGGTATTAACCAATCTATGAATAACATATACCAGTATTAATGACTGCTGTAACTAAACATTAGTTAATTTAGAAATAAGGAGGTTTATTTAAAGCATACTTTGGCTCCTTAAATAAAGTTGTACAAAATAAAATGAATTTGTATATCAAAATGTTAGTGCTAAGTCTTTACTTCAAGGTCTTTCAGAGATAATAAATATTCACTAAGATTTCAAATGTGAAAGATGGCATAGATTTATTTTTTTGCTTAGTTTTGACATGTTTTTGTTAATACTTGAAAAAAATAGAGCAGGTTAAAATTTAGATATTTACGGGAGAGTAGTGGTTGACAAACACTGATAAATTATCTTGTTGATTTTTAGCTGTGATATTAAGTGGTTTTAATTTACCTTTTACAACAGAACAATATATAATCTACAGTCAATTGCATTGTATATGGTTGTTAACCCTTTCCCCATAATGACACATTTTGATGCCTACCCCTTTCCTCCATGATGACGCCTTTTGACACAGTCCCCCTTTTACTCCATAATGATGCCTTTTAAATCCTCTATGTGGTACCTCAGTTAAAGCATTTTGCATTAATAAATCTGTAGTAGACTTTATCACATTTGTATCCAATATAAAAGGTATAAACTTGGGAATACCTGACGTGAGTTTAGATGACAAAATAATCTATTTCTTCATGCATTATTAATTTAAACTTGATGATTTTACTTTCAATCACTTTCACCATGATTTCCTTTCATTACAGTTAGCTTATTTCCAATATTTCATAAATAAATATCCTATGCAAAATAGATTAATGCAAGAAAACAAATTCATCATGGAGGAAAGAGTTTACATATTAAATTATAAAATTCCTTAATGTAAAAATAAAATTTAAATTGCAAACGAAAATACATAATTTAATGATATTTAGTAACAAGAGCATTGTTTAATGGTGTCTTCATTTATAATTTACCAGAATTCGTCCAAATATTATTGTATTGTATTTATATACCATTTCAGTTTTTGTATTGATTGGTAGTTAATGCTATCTCATCTGCAGGGTTTCTCCTATACTGAGGTCAGAATGATGCTGATTTTTTTTAAAATTTTATCTGGATCAAGAGCAAGAAATGTAAAAGGATCTTGCTTTGGTATTGTGTGGTATTAGTTATAAAAAAAATTAAAATTCAGTTGCAAATTAAACAGTTTTTGTTTGTTGATTTTTTCATGAGATGAAAATTTCATATTGATTTAGTTTGACCACATATATATAAACCTTTCTAAAGTTTCTAAGTCATTTGTTAATTTTTTATTTTTTTTTACCTGTTGTATGATTTAACACATAACATAATGTTGAGTTGTGGCTAAGTTTATTTGTATGTAAGTTTTTATAGTTGAAATGGCTATAAATAAATACAAACTATCAAATTTGTCATGGTTGTACTTCTTTATATGACCAAAAACTGGCTGTTTTAAATGGACAAGTATAAGTAAATCCCCATCAACCTTTGATCAACAAGGGACTGATTGAAAGATTTCATATGTACTTTATTTTAAAAAGAAATTCTCTGTTTCAACTTTGAAGAAACGCTTGTTCCATATATATTTAATTTGATACAAAGTAACTTTGACAGGGTTCCAGGGTTAATTGAAAGTAAGTAAATGTTTTGCCAAACAAAAACAGAGATCAGTTGCTATGTCTTGACATAAATGCATGAAAAAAACTCATCAAAGAGACCAGGCTTATGATTTTGTATGCCAGATGCGTGTTTTGTCTACAAAAGACTCATCAGTTATGCTCAATTGAAATCATATAGCTAATACTCTAACTCCTAAATTATGAGAGCTATGGGGGGAACCAGCAAATACCAATTTTTATGCCCCTTGAAAAAATTTCTAGAGCATATATTCATCACTTTGTCCTTCCTAAACAAATGGTTTCCAAATGGTGACTTGAGTTTCCCTTACTTGATTAAAATGAAACCTATACAGATGGAAGTCAAATAGAAGGGGAAAAGGGTATTGTTTTTGTGCAAACGGTCAAAAACAAAGGAGTTCGGGTGACATATTGTTATTCAACGTTTCTTTTTTTCTTATTATTTTTATTATGGCATCCTCAAAGGAGTTGGGGTGACATATTGTTATTCTACATTTCTTTTTTTCTTATTATGGCACCCTCAACGGAGTTCACTTGACATATTGTTATTCTACGTTTCTTTTTATGTCACCCGATCGACAATGTCGGGTGACATATTGCTTTTCCTCTGTTTCTTTTTCCCTATTATTATGGCACCCTCAACGGAGTTGGGGTGACATATTGTTATTCCACGTTTCTTTTTTTCATATTATTATTATGGCACCCTCAACGGAGTTGTGGTGACATATTGTTATTCTACGTTTCTTTTTTTTCTTATTATGTCACCAGATTGACAATGTCGGGTGACATATTGCTTTTCCTCTGTTTCTTTTTCCCTATTATTATGTCACCTGATCGACAATGTCGGATGATATATTGCTTTTCCTCTGTTTCTTTTTATACGACCACAAAAAAAAATTTGGGATCGTATAATGGTATGATGTCGTCGTACGAAGACACATTGGTTTTCCGACAATTACTTTAGTTTAAGTGAATGGATCTCTATGAAATTTTTTAATAAGGTTCAATACCACAAAAGGAAGGTTGGGATTGATTTTGGGGATGATGGTCCCAACCATTTGGGAATTAGGGGCCCAAAACAAGCATTTTTCTAGTTTCAGGATAATAACTTGTGTATAAGTATTTCGATTGCTCTGAAATTGTACCACAATGTTTAATAACACAAGTAGAAGGTTGGGATTCATTTAAGGGGTTATGGGGCCAACAGTTTAGGAATTAAGGGCCAAAAAGGGGCCAAAAACAAGCAGCATTTTTCTAGTTTCCAGACAATTACTTGTGTGTAATAGTACGGATCCCTCTGACATTGTACCACAAGGTTCCATATAACAAAGGGAAGGCTGTGATTGAGTTTGGGGGTAATTGCCCCAAACATGTAGGAATTAGGGGCCAAAAAAGGGCCAAAAACAAGCATTTTTCTAGTTTCCAGACAATAACTTGTGTTTAAGTGTATGGATCCCTCTGAAATTGTACTACAATGTTCCATACTATAAAGGAAAGGCTGGGATTGAGTTTTGGGGTTATTGCTCCAAGGGGGGTTTCAAAAAAGTTGGGGGGGGGGGGTTCCCAATTCTTTTAAGGGATTCATATTTTTTTTTCAAAATTTTTCAAATTTCGAATTTTTGAAAAGTTTTAAGAAGAAATCTTCAATTGCACAGTATTGTGCAATAGATTTGTAAGATCTTTGACCACATTTATTTTGTGTCAGAAACCTATATTATGTCAAAAATTTGATCACAATCCAAATTCAGACAGTATCAAGCTTGAATATTGTGTCCAAATTTGCCCAAACTGTTTAGGGTTCGACCTCTGCAGTCGTATGTGGCTGCACTCAGCGAAGCATTTTATTCTCTATTATTATTATTATGGCACCCTCAAAGGAGTTGGGGTGACAAATTGTTATTCTACGTTTCTTTCTTTCTGTGTTTTATTTTTCTTCCACTTTTTTTGTCCAGCTTATATCTTGGAATTCTATGAACCAATTGTTATGGAACTATACCATAATGTTAACCAGCATGTGCAGATTTGCAATCGGGGTATGGCATTTTCAAGATGGCTGCTGTTACCATGGAAACAGCAAAAATGTCCAAAATTTCAATATGGTCCAAAGTTAATGAAACTTTACACAAATATTGAATGGCATATGCAGATGTCCAATTTGACAAAATGGCCACCGCTACCATGGAAACAGCAAAAATTAAAAAAAATTCTTAATTATCCAAACTCAATGAAACTTTACAATTATATTAATAGGCATGTTTAGATGCGCTCTTTGACTTTGGAATTTTCAAAATGGCTGCCATTACCCTGGCAATGGGGGAACGAGGGTGCCATCAGTTATTGCTAGCAATAGTTCGGGTGACATCTTGTTATTGTTCGTTTCTTTTTTTTCTTATTTTTATTTTTCTTCCACACATTTTGTCCAGTCTAGTTCTCGGATATGCATGGACCAATGTTGATGGAAGTATACCATAATGTGGACCACCAAGTGAAGTTGTGCACCTGACTTTGGAATGTGCAAGATGGCCGCCGTTTCCACGGAAACAGCAAAAATGTAAAAAATTTTGAAAATTCTAAATCTTTTATTTTAAGACCCAATCTAATGAAACTTTATGGAAATGTTCCCTGCTATGCCTAGGTGGCAATACATGTACAATATTAAGACCATCCAAAATGGCGGCCATTGCCATGGAAACTTGGGAAAACTGAACATTGAACTCTATGGGAAAATTTTTAAATAACATTTTTCATATGGAATATGGTACATCAAACCCAATAAAACTATATGGATATGTTACATTCCATGTGCCACCGTTGCGTCTGTCTTTGGAATTTTGGAAATGGTCACCGTTACCATGGAAACAGCAAAAATTTCAAAAATTTCAAAATGGTCCAAACTTAATGAAACTTAATATAAATGTTAACTATCATGTGTTGATCTGCCTTTTGACTTTGGAATTTTCAAAATGGCTGCCATGATAGTGGCAATTGGCGGACCAGGGTGCCATCCGTTATTGCTTGCAATCACAAATCTAGTTATGTCACCCTGACGGAGGTCGGGTGACATATTATTATTGTTCCATTCTTTTTTTTTATTTATTATGGCACCCTCAACGGAGTTGGGGTGACATATTGTTATTGTTCCGTTCTTTTTTTCTTCTTTTTATTTTTATTCTTCCACACTTTTTGTCCACGCTATTTCTCGGAATTGGATGGAACAATCTTGATGGAACTATGCTATAATGTTGACCACCATGTGAAGTTGTGCAGTGGAGTTTGGAATGTGCATGATGGCCACCGTTACCATGGAAACTAAAAAAATGTAAAAAAAATCAAAATTCTAAATCTTTCATTACAAGACCTAACTGGATGAAACTTTATGATAATGTTACCTGGTATGCCTAGATGTGCAGACATTATTTAGAATTTCCAAAATGGCTGCCATTGTCATGGAAACAGGGCGAAAGTTAAACATTGACCCTATGGGAAAACACATTAAAGCTGCATTTTCTTAAAGAATATTAAATCAAGCCCAATAAAACTGTATGTATATGTAACAATTTTTCGAATTGGCTGCCGCTAAGTGGCAATGGGGGAAGGGTGACATCCGCTATTGCTTGCAATGGCAAATCTAGTTATTAGTTGTTTTCTTCTACCTACTTTTGTCCGGGAGTTTTCTCAGAGTCAATGGAACCAATCTCAATGATTGTTCACTATTACAAGGAATCCCCAGCGGTTTCCCCCACCCCAAATATTTTAATATCTTGTAAATGGTCGAGATCACCACCCCTAAACCATATATATTCCTGTCATCATGTCACAAAGATTTGAATGATATATAGGAGAGGTCCCCAAGGGGTTCTCCCACCCCTAATGTTCTAATATCTTGTCAACGGTTGAGATCCCCACCCCTAAACCATATTTATTCCTATCCATCATATCTCGAGAGATTTAAAATAATATATAGGGTCAGTCCCCAGGGGTTTCACCCGACCCCAATGTTTTATTATCTTGTAAATGGTCGAGATCCCCACCCCTAAACCATATATATTCCTGTTCATCATGTCACAAAGATTTGAATTATATATAGGGCAGTACCCATGGGTTTCCCCCACACCAAATGTTATAATATCTTGTAAATGGTCGAGATCTCCACCCCTAAACCATATATATTCTGGTTTGTCATGCCAAGATGATTTGAATGGTAAAAGGGGTAAGACCCAAGGGGTCATCCCCACCCCATGTCATTTAAATTTGTTTAAATATCTGTAAATGGTCAAGTTCCCCACCCCTAAACCATATATATTCCTGTTCATCATTTCACAAAGATTAGAATGAATTACAGGGTCAGTCCCCAGGCGTCACTAATGCATATCACTTTACTTGACCAAACAAATTTTTACTGGACTTTGCCCAATGTCAGGCCTGGGAATGACGAATTATGGGAGCTTCGTTTGGGAGACCTCGTAACAGCATCCTGTTACAATCATTTTGTTAGCAATATTATTGGTCATGTGCCCTAAACCTGGTTGGTTAGCCACAGAATCCCTGTCAAAATGTGTGTCCCTAACGAGTTCTTTTCCAAATAATGAGGCTCTGGAGAAAGCATTTGCAACAATTTTGGTTCTAGAGATCAATTCTACAGTAAATTGCAAGATTTCTATGTGTTTCATATCTGGTTTGACCTCCATCTCTATGAGACGAACAAGAAAGTTCGTCTAAGGGAATCCTTGTCACCTGGTCCTTGATATTGTGTATGAAAATTAAGAGTTATTGCTT